TCAAATGGGTACAGAAAACATCTTGAAGGGCCTCCTGCTGGCTAATCTTGAGACAATTTATACATCAGAAATAAATGATAATAACAGATTCTAATCCAGTGAATAAAACAGAAATTCATGAGTCCACCATGATTAATTTTAAAAAAAAACAAATGAGGAAAAGATAAAACTTCTCTTTATAGTAGAGGATCAGCTAATGAATGTAATTGGAATAACAGCATTAGGAAATCACCACTTGGCAACCACCATAGTGATAATTAATCCAGCTAAGCAACATTGATTAATGTGTGAAAGTTTGATGAAGAATGGACCATTTACACTGTCTCTAAGTCCTCCCCACAAAATACTGATTACAAAAAGGAAAAGTAACTACATTGGAGAAATCTGGAAGGCCCCACTTTATCTGAGTGATTGGAGTTAACATTGCCAGTGCTGGGACAGATCAAATTGTGTTGCACCTAATATGATGCAGTAAGAACACAGCATCACTTCTGTGATATTTGTATTACAAATGCATGAAGTGAATCTGATCATGAGGAAACATCAGACAAACCCAAATTAAGGAGTATTCTTCAAAATAACTGGCCAGTAATCTTCAAAAAAGGGCCAAGTTCTTGAAAGTCAAGGAGATATATAAGAACTTTCAGGTTGAAGGATCCCAGAGAGATGTGATAACAAAATGCAATATGTGATCTCAGCTAAGCCATGCCCGGACTCCGACCTACAGAAACTGAGATAATATTGTAAATGGGTGTTGTTTTAAACCACTAAGTTTTTGGTAATTTGTTACACAGCATGGAACACTAATCCATGGGTGATCTTAGTCATGCACATAGATACAAAAATCTTGAACAAAAGATTAGCAAATAGAATTCAGCAATTCATGAAAATGATGCTATATCACAAGTAAGATAGGTTTCTCCGAGAAATAGAATATGGGTTTAATATGTGACCATCATCAATAGTTAACCATGATAACAGAATAAAGAAGATAGAATCTCATGATTACCTCAAAAGATACAGAAAAACCTGATCACATTCACAATCTATTCATGGTTACAACTCTCAAAAAAAAAAAAACAACTATGCCTTTAGTAAGCATCACACTTAATGGTGAATTATACAAAGCTTTTCCTCAGTTCAGGAATGAGCTATGGATACCTACTATCCCACTTGTATTCAATGTTTTACTAGAGGTGCTAGCTAGTTCAAAAGATAAAAAATAAAAAGCATAAGAAATTGGAAAGGAAATAATCCAAAGAACCTAAATAAAAATTAGACTTAAGTAAGTTTATAAAGGTTCCTGGATTCAAGATCAACATATGAATATGAATTGTATTTTTACCTCCCAGCATCAAATTAAAATGAAATTTTAGCAAGACTATATTGATTAGGAGAAACTGAAGGTCTTGGGAGAACTTCACTGACAAAAGGAGCAGGATGATAGGATTCACGTCCTCCAGAATCACCACTGTGGTGACTTCAAGAAACTCCTCTGTAAATAGGCTGCAAAGATCAAATAGCTGCAAGAGTTAGCACCTCTAGTTGCCAGGATCCCTTATCCTGGTGTCAAAAAGTGATTATTCTTAATGTCTTTGTGTAGCCTGAGTATAAATATATAAATTTAAATGTATATGTATAAGCATTTGGACACACTATAGGCAAACTCTTAAGCACCTTGCCTTTTGACTTACCAGTACTGTACCTTGGAGATAAATCCAAATTACAAATATGTCTACTACATTCTCATTTTTTAAACTTTTTAGTTTGAGATTATTTCAAACTTACAGAAGGATTTCAGGAAGAGGATAAAGAACTCCAATATACCCTCACTCGGATTCGCCAATTGCAGTCATTTGGGCTGCATCTGCTTCATATTTGCTTTATCACTCCTTCTTCCCTCCGTTCCTCATGTGTGTCTGTGTCTGTGTGTGTTTTCCTGATCCATTTGAAAGCAGGTTGCATAAATCATGCCCCTTTATCCCTAAATCCTTCAGTGTGTATTTCTTAAAAACGACATTATCTTTAATAAACAGAATACAGTTTTATAAAATTCAGATATAAAACTATTCTTATATAATCCATATTCAGATTTCATCAGTTGTCCCAATAATGTCCTTTTATACTATTTTTTTTTCCTGACCAAGGATCCCACCCAGGATTGAGTATTTGTCTTGTTTCTCTAGTTTCTTTTTAATCTGAAATAATTCTCAGCCCTTTTTCTTTCCTGACATTGACAATTTTGAAGAGTTTTTTCCTTTTGTTACCTCATTCATTTTACTAGATGGAGAGCTGAGAAAAGATGAATTGGCCCTAATGGCTCTTTCTTTACCTACTCTCTACAGATTCTAAGTTAGCTCAGAGGAAGAACATGTTGGTATTAGCTCCGGAACTCCAGAGGCTCCCCCTTTCTAACAAGGCCACTTCCTTGACCAGGTTGCCATCACTGCTATTGGTCACATGTATTCTCTGACCCCTTTTCATCTAGACAGAGCATTGGGTAGGGGTTCTTTGCAGGGGTTGGGGGGTCCCTCTCTATTGAAGTGCTTTCTTTTTTTTTTTTAACGTCTTTATTGGAGTATAATTGCTTTACAATGGTGTGTTAGTTTCTGCTGTATAACAAAGTGAATCAGCTATATGTATACATATATTTCCATATCTCTTCCCTCTTGCGCCTCCGTATCCCATCCCTCTAGGTGGTCACAAAGCACTGAGCTGATCTCCGTGTGCTATGTGGCTGAAGTGCTTGCTTTCTTTTTTTTTTTTTTTTTTGAAGTGCTTTCTTAAGCACAGTTCTCTGTGAAGAAAATGAGAGCTCAGGAGCTCATGTGTGCTTTGCTATTTCTCAATTTATAACTTCTTCTTTGATGAATAATTTTATTTGCCCAGTGTGGCATTAGGGGTGTGTGTGTGTGTGTGTGTGTGTGTGTGTGTGTGTGTGTGTACCTCTTTTGCACTATAATTGATTGACTGTGAAGGGAAATACTCCAGTCTATCCCAATGCTATGCATTTTGGGAAGCAGCAAAAGCCATCTGCCTCTTTCCCCGGTGTGAGACACAGTCCCTCAAAGTCCCTGGAGTGGTGTGGTCACTGGGAAGCTGGATGAGTGCCCTAAGGGGGCAGAGTTGCCATAGTGTCCACTGATGTGGAGGCAAATCTTCTGTGTATGTGTTTGTGTGTGTGTGTGTCTGTAATATATATATACAAGAGAAACTTGGAAAGATGAAGAGAGGTTGTATGTTCAGTTAATTCTCTGAAATCTAATCTTTTAAGTTTTAAAGCAACCAAGTAACAGTATCTCAGGCAGCATTCTAGAATTTTGAAGTGTAATGTAAAGGATTGTGATGTATGGGAAATCCAAGTTGGAAGGTACCTGAAGTACAGATGAAATCAGTTTGCAGCTACTGAAAGTAGGAAGGAACATGTAAGTTGTTTATTACAAACAAGAAGAACCAAAGTAACAGGCTTGGAGAAATGAAGTTAAAAGGTTTAGATGTAGCTCCTGAATAGAAGTGAAAGACCAACATCGTTTCACTAAAATGGCTTCACAACAGCCTTTCACTGCAGATGACTTCGGTATCTACTGTGTCCTGTGAGCCTCTGTCTACTACGGTTTTCTAGAGAAGTTTAGCTGGGCTGGGCTGGGGTGCGGGGAAGCCATGCTTAAAGGGGTCATGAGGTACATGCCGAATTTTGAATGGATTCCTCAGGGTTGACCCATTGGAGGTCTCCCAAAGGGAAGGGATGGGAAGATGTTATTTAATATCTAGCCAATAGTTATTCCTAAAAAGTGACAGCCCAGGGCCTCCTGTGACATTGGTAAATAAAAGGGGAAATGTCCCTCCGTGTAAAAGCGAGCACTTTTCAAACTGGCAGAATTGTAAGTAGAGGTACTGACATGAGGTAGCTGTCTCCTGGAGTCCCAATTTTAGATACTACGTGGAAAGAAAACCTAAAAGGATGAAGATATTGGGCTGCCTGGTACAGTAGCCAAATTACAAAAGGAAGCTCTGTGTGGAAAGAAGAGGACCCTCTCCTCTGTGCAGGTCTGGTTGATCCACATGGACCCACGAATTCCGTAGCTACTGTTAAGGACATCCTGGATCAGTCATTTCTTTAAAGAAATTTTTTTAGGTTACCATTAACTATGTAATCTGTGCCTCGTTCCTTGCATTGTTTAATCCTCACAATCCAACAATCCTATAAGGCAGGTAACACTATTCCTGTTTTATAGATGAGAAACAGACATGAGTCCCAGATCATGTAGCTGGTAAGTGACCATCAAAATTTAAACTAAATGCTCTTTCTCTCCCCCTCTCTATGTATGTGTGTGTGTTTATATATGTATTATGTATACATATATAACATACACACATATTTATGTGCTCTTAATATATGTATATATTCTCTTAATATGTGTATATATTATGCTCTCAAATGTATATATGGCATATATATGTATATACACACACATATATATTCCTAATATTTGATATATAAATCCAAATAACTCTTGACAGACAGATGATGGGTACATAGATAGATAGATAGATAGATATCCCTTCTCTCTGTGTGCCACTGCACATGCCTTAGTATATTACCGTGGGCAAATGACGAAACCATTTATTTACACATGATATCTCACCTGTAAAACAGGATTTAAAAATAACTGTACCTACCCCATAGAATTGTTGAAAGAATTAAATGGGAAAGTTCATGTTAAGTACTTAACATAGTGTCAGGTCAATACAAGATAGCTATTGTTATTAACTACTATCTATTATTATTATTACTGGTAATAATAATTAAATTACTTGCCCAGCAAAAAAGGAAATACTTTGGTATTTAGAGAGGAAGTCAGCATTTTAGCAAAGCAATTCTAGGTCTCTGAAAGGCCAATTTTTTCTGTCCTCTTGCTTTGGTTTAAGGAAGAAACTTTATCTCTGCTTATTTGGCCGCAGGCACTGTTCAAAGAGTCCCAAACAAAGTAATGCAATTTTAGACTCCAAGTCCGAATACTTATGTCTTTAATAGGGAATGTATTTGGTGGAAGTCTTATGAAGGACTCTTCTTTGTGTCATTAGGTTGAGACGGCCTTATTTCATTTGTACGTATTTTGTTTCCTCAAAATGCTGTCCTTTCTTTCCATGTGGCACCAACACAGCACAGCGTGCACAGATCACTATGACCCCTTTCCAGTTAATGAGGCTGATGAGAACCAGCCCCATTTCCAGGGCGTGACTGGTCTGCAGAACCTGGGCAACACATGCTACATGAATGCCATCTTACAGTGTCTCTGCAGCATCTCACCGCTGGTGGAATACTTTCTCTCTGGAAAGTACATTACCGCTCTTCAAAAGTAAGACAATTTGCCATCCCTGCAGCCGGGTCCTCACCCCTGCTCTCCAAGGTGAGGTTAGGGAAGGGACCCTCTGGAGTCCCTATGAAGGGCTAAACCAGTTAGGAGAGGCTGCAGTGCCCCAGATCCCATTTCTAGGGTGAGTAAAATGGGAAGGTCAACCAAGAAATGAATGAAGCTTTGTTTGGGGTCTGATGCCACATGCTTAGCCGGAATCATTTCCCTTCCTTCTTCCAAGGGATTGCAGTGAGGTTGCCACTGCTTTTGCCTACGTGATGACAGACATGTGGCTTGGAGACTCTGACTGTGTCTCACCAGAAATATTTTGGTCAGCTTTTGGCAAACTTTACCCAGCATTTATGAAAAAGACACAGCAAGATGCTCAGGAATTCTTGATTTATGTCCTGAATGAACTTCATGAAACTCTGAAAAAGGTAAGTAGAATTAATGGCCTTGAAATAGACCTTTAGCTCTATCAGCAACTTTCACTTTTCATTCTTTTATTTGTTCAGTCAGTATTGCCTACTCTGTGCTGAGCACAGGTGCTGGGGTCACTATGGGGAAAATTCAAGTTAGTATTTGAATGGGCCTGTATTTCCCAAACTTAGCTGTTTATCGGAATCACCTGGGGAGATTTTATGGCACAGCTTCTTAGGCCCTCTGGTGTTATTGAATTAGAATGTCTGGGTTGTCTTCTGGGAAAACTCACTTGGGATTTCCAGTAATCAGCAGGTGTGGGGACCACTGGTCTAGTTCCCTTTGCAGTAACATCTGCATTGACTACTTTTTAGAGTGAAAATTACATTTTTTTATAAAAATATATTCCTCATGATGTATAATATATAAAATTTACAACTTAAAACAAGTGTTCTTGGTAGCTACAAACCCGAGGAAATATTAAGCTTGGTGTAAGGTGAAAGGACAGATCTGTAAACTGCAGTTTCATCTTTATACTAAATGTGCCTAACCTGAGTTCTTCACTGGATTAGGACATACATTTAATAAAACATGAAATTGCCAGTTACTAAGGAGGTTGCCTTTATTTATAAGACTCACTACCTTCAGCCTTGATCTGAGACCCACACTCTCCAAAGATATGCCCTAGATTTTATGCAGTGTCTTTATGCTGCTGTTAGCTTACCTCATAGCCAGGAGACACTTAGCATGAAAGACCACAAACTATTACTGTTAATCCCTCTCATCTGCAATCCTCAGCTCCATTTTTAATTTTTACTGAGATATTCACAGCAGCACTTTTTTTAGCCAGAGGGGAGGGTGATGGTCAGTAAAAATCACTGAGGTCCTCATCTGCAGCGAGTCTGAAATAAATAGCGTTCTGGTTCTCAAGGTTAAACTTGGGGTTAGAGGCATCAAACTACTGTCAGGTGGAAGACACGGGCAGGTGGGTGTGATGAAAGAAGCAGCCAAAGCGGAGCCTTGTGCACAGTTCCAAAGCGTAGCTGACTGTGGAGCTAAAGCACCTTCAGAATGTATATTCTGCTGAGGCTGTAGAATCACCAGTCAGGGTACGCTCCCGGAAATACTGTTCCTGAGCATCAGCTAGATTCAAATCAGGCTACAAGGCTAGTGAAATTGGGCTGCCCTTGGAGTTTAAGATTAGCTCTTTAAAAAATTCTTTTCTAACAATAAAAGAAGAGACTAAGGAACGTAACCTGAAGGGACTGGAGGAGAGATCCAATTCCTTTATCTTACCTCTAGATCAGCTTGCATGACCAGAAGCTAGTTTGCAGCTTACCCTCTGCCCAGGAAAAACTGCCTGCAGGACCCTATATCACATTATCATTTACTGTCAGTTTATGGCACCATGGATATATATTTTACCAGGGTTAGGGTGTCCTCGTTTCTCAGGTTCACTTAAAGAGGCAAATAACTGAATTATCAGAAATCACACATATTATATGCTCTTAAGAAGATCTTATTCTGTTTATTTTCTGAATCCAAAACTAAGTGGTTTGGGGTAGCATTCTGTTAGAAAAATCAGGTCATTCTATTGAAAATATTTTGAGAACCAGTAGTTGATTTGGGGTGAATTTGTTCCTTTGTTCAGTACCACCGAAGAAGATCATATGAAAAAAGATCTATTCCGAGATCCTGCAGGAAGATGATTGCCAACGAGTCCTCCATCATCACCCGGCTGTTTGAAGGGCAGCTCAATTATAGCATCATATGTTTAAAGTGTGAGAACTGTACCTACAAGAATGAAGTCTTCACCGTCCTCTCCCTCCCCATTCCATCCAAATACGAGTGCTCTCTTCAGGTAGGGATTCTTACTCCATGAGACTTCTTTTGTCTTTCTCTACCCCATCCCTGGGTTTTCCCAAGGCTGTTTCCTACATTTTCTAGTATGAGGGGAGCTACTTTATAACTTAAAAAAATTGGAAACCCGTGATGAGAACGTTTTGTAGAAAAGTGACATACAGCCAAAAGTTACAATACAGTTACAAAAGTTATGAATTCAGATGTATCTCTAAATGTGCTCAGTGAAAGAGCCTCACTGTAAAACTGGAAAGATGGGTGGGCTTTATTCAGTCTATTGAGATGGCTTGGCGCATATAGGGAATTTATACATATAAAAATTTTATGGCCCTTTCTCATCCCAGAGGTCTGTAGGTACATATTAGGAAATGACTTTGACTCTTATTCTTGAGCTCTTATGTTTTGGACAAAAGCTGAGGCATCTGGGGAGAAGATAGAATGGAATAGTGCCTTAGTTTACCTCTCGAGTTTTCTTTACCATAATACCAAAAGTTAATCTGTAAGCGGAGGAGTGGTGGGAGTCGGGGGCAGGGGTGGGTGGAAGGTGGCAGTAAAAGCCAGGGAACTGTGAGGAGGGAGGGAGCAATAAGTTTCCTTGCAGGAAAACACACATTTATATTTTTCTTCTTAAATTGCTAAAAGTCTTGAAATACCAGAGTTAGAGAAAATAATCCTACTACTTATTCAGAACTGGGCTTTGTTCTCAGATCAAACTGCTAAACACACCTGAAGATGAATTCCAAAGCCTCTAAGTGAGGTGCTGGCAATCTGTGCTCGTCCTCCTCTTTAGGTTAATGGTTTGCAGAGCGGGGAGCCTGGCTGGTTGAGGATGTCTCCTGTGGGCATGAGATCTAATTCTCTCTGTTCTGCTGTCTTTATTATGGGCCACCCCCAAATACAGGGATACGGTCATTTTTCAGTCCCCAGATCATTTTTCTGATGAGATGAATAACTTAAAGCAGCTGCCTGACTTGGTTAGTGGAAATTGCATAGTTGGTATTATTCTGAAACAAACCAGAAATGTTAAAATGCTGATTCAGAGATTAGAAATGAGATGGACATTTGGATCTATTTCAATAACTCAGTGAGAAGGCAGCACCTCCTTTGCCAGGTGGACTATATCCAAGCTGCAGCTTGCGGCGCTGGCATCTCTTGGACTTGGAGAAAAGCACAGAGAATTACATTTCTGCAGCTCTTTCAGAGTTCTAATATAGACAGGACCCCAGGTTGAAGTGGATTCAGTTTCGTCACTAAATGCTTCTTCCCTCAACAGGACTGTCTCCAGTGTTTCTTTCAACAAGACACACTGGCCTGGGACAACCAAATTTACTGTTCCTTTTGCGAAACCAAGCAAGAAACAGCTGTGAAGGCCAATATTTCTAAAGCACCAAAAATAATTGTCTTTCACTTAAAAAGGTATGGATTTTAACATTTTGTGAGAAGATTTTTTGAACAGCTTTATCATGATATAATTCACATACCATGCAATTCACCTATTTAAGTGTACAATTCAATGGTGTTGAGTACATTACATTAATTTTTTAAAATCTGTGGTAAAATATATGTAACAAAACTTGCCACTTTAAGTATATAATTTCACTGGCATTAATTACATTCACAATATTGTGCATCGATTTTCCAAAACTTTTTCATCACCCTCAACAGAAACTCTGGAACCATTAAGCAATAACTCCCCATTCCTCTTCCCTCCCAGCCCCTGGTAACCTCCAGTCTACTTTCTGTGTCTATAAATTTGCCTGTTCTGATGCTTCATATAAGTGTAGTCACACACCATTTGTCTTTTTTGCTGGCCTATTTCACTTAGCATGTTTCCAAGGTTCATCCTTGTTGTGACGTGTACCAGAAGTTCATTCCTTTTTATAGCTGAATAATACTCTATCGTATGTATGTACATCATATTTTGTTTGTCTATTCAACTGTCGATGGACATTTGGCACTCACTTTGAGTGCTTTTAAAAAATAAATTTCCTATAAAGATGTTATAAAATAAATAAATAAATTCCCTAGTCCACCCTTGGGGATTCTGTTCGCACAGGTCTGAGGTGGAATCTAAGAATCACTATTTAAAATTTTAACACCCTCCCCACCGCGCTCAGTTATTATTTTTATTTTTTTTGTTTTTGTTTTTGTTTTTGCGGTCCGCAGGCCTCTCACTGTTGTGGCCTCTCCCGTTGCGGAGCACAGGCTCCAGACGCGCAGGCTCAGCGGCCATGGCTCACGGGCCCAGCCGCTCCGCGGCATGTGGGATCTTCCCGGATCGGGGCACGAACTCGTGTCCCCCGCATCGGCAGGCGGACTCTCAACCACTGCGCCACCAGGGAAGCCCTATTTTTTAATTTATTTTTGGCTGCATTGGGTCTTAGTTGCTGTGTGGGCTTTCTCTAGTTGTGGAGCATGGGTTGCGGTGTGCAGGCTTATTGTGGTGGCTTCTCTTGCTGCCGAGCACGGGCTCTAGGGCACACGGGCTTCGGTAGTTGTGGCTCGCGGGCTCTAGAGCACAGGCTCAGTAGATGTGGAGCGTGGGCTTACTTGCTCTGTGGCATATTCCCGGGCCAGGGCTCGAACCCGTGTCCCCTGCATTGGCGGGCAGATTCTTAACCACTGTGCCACCAGGGAAGTCCCAGTTTTTATTTTTAAAAGTTACAAATCTACAGAAAATTTGAAAAGGTATATAATGAATACCCATATACCCTAGAATCTTCATTAGTTGGGGCCACTTTGCCACATTTCCTTTTGTTCTTCCTGTCTGTCTGTTTCTCCCTCCAGCCCTCCCTTCCACTTTATTAGCTGAACCGTCTAAAGTAAGATGCAAACACCATGGCATTTCATGCTTAAATACTTCAGCAGGTATCACCTGAGAATAGGACATTCTCCTACATAATCACACCATTATCATATAGCCCAAGAAATTTAACAATAATTTTATATCACCCAAGATACAGTCCATATCTAAATTCCCCCATCCCCCAAATATCTTTCATAACTTTTCTTCCAATCTAGCATCCAGTCAAGGGTCATACATTGCATTTGGCTGTCTCTTTAGTCTCTTTTAATCTAGAAGACTCCTTCCCTCTTTTTTCATATTTAAACAATTTTTTCTCATTTTGAGTTTGTTTAGATTATGTCACCCATCCTGGATTTGTCTAATTGTTTCCCCATAGTTAGATTTAGGCTAAACTTTTTTTTTTTTTTAGCAAGAATTTGCCATAGCTGATGTTATGGACTTGTCATTACATTACATCAGGAGGCAGATAATAAAAGTTTGTCCCACTACTGGTAATGTTAATTTGATCACTTAGTTAATTAAGGTGGTGACTATACGATCTCACCATTTAAAGGTATAGTAGTTTTCCCCTCTGTAACTAGTATCACTCTGGACTCGTGGATATTTTTAAACTTAATTGGTTTAATATCCATTACTATTATCATTCTCCTCCATGCTCAAATTGTTCAAAGTTGGCCAGTGGGAACCCCTTCAAGCCAGCTCCTGTGACCCCATTAGTTAATTTAAGTTTACTTACATATATAAAATGTATCCTTCTTTTATATAGTTCTATGAATTTTGACAAATGTAATGTAACCATCACTGCCAACAGAGATTCTTTCCATCACCCCAAAAAGTTTTCTCATGGTCCTTTATAATCAATTCCTTCTCCCACCCTCAGCCCCTAGAAACTTCTGATCTGATTTCCATGTTTATTGCCTTTTCCTGAATGTCGTATGTTATACCAGATATGGCCTTTTGAGTTTGGCTTCTTTCACTTAGCACAATGAGATTAACCCATGTTGTGGAATGTAGTCATGGTTCCTTCCTTTTGATTGCTGTGTAGTATACCCTTTTATGAATGTACCAAAATTGTTGATCCATTCACTAGTTGATGAACATTTGAGTTGTTTCCAGTTTGGGGCAGATATGAATACAGCTGCTATAAATTTTGCGTATAGGTTTCTGTGTGGATATAAGTCTTTGTTTCTTCTGAGATGATACCTAGGCATGGGATTGCTGGGTCATATGATATGATAGTCCCTTAGTTTTTGCAAACAAGATTTCTTGCTTTCTGGCACAAGAATATCTCAGCCTCACCCAGTAATTTCCCTTCCCCTGACCTAAACCAGCTGTTTTTCCAAAATGAACATAATTTATTCTTTAAAAAGCTCTGGGGTGATTCTGATATGAACTCAGATTTGGGAATTGCTGATCTGTATAACACATAGAGAATGTGACAAGATTTTCACAAAATTTTATCTTATTAAAGATATATTAAAACCTCCAAGTTGCAAAACAGGACACTGCGAAGACAGTGTGTGCTGAAATCAACATAAGGAAAAGCTGAGTCAGTTTGGTTAGAGTGAACAGCATCAGATGGAGGGAAGACTTCTGGAAGTTATCAATGTGATTTCTACTCCCCCTGATGCTGAGCTTGGCTTTATCCCTTTCTTTTTCTCCCGCTGGATTGACTCTACCCTGTCTCACTCCCTGACTCAGGCTCTTAGCCCACTTCAGCCTCAGTTTTGGCTGTGGAGATTCAAATATATATAGATAAGAAAAAAATAATTTATGTATAAGTCTACACCAAATAATCTTTCCAAGAAATTACTTTTAACTATACTTAGAACTTGTGAAGGTATGTGGACTTCATTCATGAGTGGTTCACAAACTTACTTTCTATTTTACACATTTATTATATCTCTGCAGGTTTGACATTCTGGGTACAATGAAAAGGAAACTGAGGACAGATATTCATTACCCGCTCACTAACTTGGACCTTACTCCTTACATTTGTCCAATTTTTCGGAAACATCCTAAATATAACCTCTGTGCAGTGGTGGTGAGTAAAATACTGAAACTATTTAAAGTAACACAGGTTTAAAGAAAACTGTAGAATTATCTGTTTGAATGACTACTACTTCTATCTCTCCCTGACTTCTCCTATACTGCCCTTTTTAAAACAAAATATAGAGCCTGGAAACTCCCTGCTTTGACCTTGAACAGTAGAGCAGTGAAAGAATACATCAAAGAATACAATGTCCTCTATGCTGCCTCCCCACTGTCCCTCTACTCTATAATACTACAGAGTATTTATTTATTAGTATTTATACTAATAAATAATACTATAACAATAGTAGAGACAGGCTATTTCAGATCTAGGGACATTTGTGAGCTGTGCTCTGGGGGCAGCAGAAGTCAGTTCCAGTAGCATTATGTTGAATAATCATGAGCCCCTCTATGGTGAAAGCCCCAAACCCTAGGTACACGGTAGTCATAGACTCACTACCTGTGTGCGTCAGTCCTAAGGAAACTCTGGGGGTTCCCTTTGGCTCTAAATCAACTGTCATCATTGAGGATTCCCTGACGGAAAGAAAGCATGGAGTATAATTCAGACCAAATCATCTAGAACTTCCCACAACATCAACCACCCCAAGCAACAGGACATTTTCTGGGTTTCTGTTCTGGATCACAGTGTTAAAGATCTGCTTCAGAACATTCAGATTTCAGTTGAACCTGGAGGTCCAGTTGTGTCCAATGTCAGATGGGCGGGGCTCCCACTGGAGCCCAGTATGATTCACCAGAGCCCTCCAGTGTACTGAAGTCTAATTTCCCTTTTGGGCTTATCACTGAATTAATATAAAATGTTGATCCCACTGGTCTTTCTCTTTAACATCTCTCAGAACCATACTTCAAAAAAAATCCTTCTTTACTTTTTCCTTTTTACTTCAAACCTTCACATTCTCCTTTCTAATTTATCCTGCCCTTAAATATGATTTTCCTTGTCTCACTCGCCAATTTGGAAATCTAGAGTGACATCCTCTTCCCTATCATAATAAACTCTAATGTGCATTCCAAAATGATATGCCCCCCCCCATATTTTACTGTTTAAACATCTCATTATAAGTGTTTCTGCTTCAAAAAAAAATCCAAAAGCAGAATTTATAAAAAATTACGTGGTAATTATCTACAGTTAGATAAAAAGAGTCACCCAAGCTTCCTATAAATTCTTAATCCTTTTAGTGTTTAAATTATTTGTTAATTGAAGGGTAAAAATTGGTTTTGAAAGAGAAATATATCTAGGATTTGCTGCAAATTGATGATTGATCAGAAAGAAGAACTAAGCATCTTAGAAACTACGATGTATGGTCATAGGGAAAGGCCAGCCATAGCTCGGTTACTCAAGGTGTCGTCCCCAGGAGACACCTGTTAGAAATAAGGAATCTCAGGTTCCACCCCACATTTACTGACTAGAAACTTGCATTTTATCAAGATCCCCATGTGATTTGAATGCATATGGAAGTTTGAGCAGTACTCAGACCAGAAGAGAAGGATTACCTCCACACCACCCTTAACAGAGATTTATCCAGCTTTTGAATAAGCCCTTAAAGAGCTTCCTGCTTTATAAGGAAGGCTCTTTATCTGCCAGATTTGTTTGATTTATTTTACAAACATATAGTGCTTGCTATGTACCAAGCACTCTTCCAAGCACTTTATGAATAATCAATCATTTAATCCTTATGTAGCCCTGTGAAGTGTAGGCACTATTATTATCCCCATCTTACAGAATGGGAAACAGGAACAGAGGTTAAATAATCTGCTCCAATCTACTGCCTACAAAGGGCAGAGCCAGGACCTGAAGCCAGGCGGGCTGGCTCCAAACAGTCCTGCTCACACTGCCATGTTACGCTGCCTCTGACTGTTAACTTGTCTCTCTGTATGGGGCACAAATCTACCTTCGTCCTTGTAACTCCTTCCATTTGTCCTAATTCTGTCCTCTGAGGTAGTAATAGTAATATGTGCGTGGCTTTTTGGTTAACAAATGCTTGTACATATGTGTTAGTTAAACAGAACACATTCTTCTTTCTTATACATGATGACCGTTCAAATATTAGAAAATAGTGATCATACACCAACAATGTTTAACCTCCTTCAACCCATTTCAGATGATTGGTTTCTAGAAAAACTTTTTAAAATTATGAAATATTTCAGGCACAGAAAACAGAATACAGTAAGTGTGCACACAGATGTTAAGAATAGAATATTGTAGAAAAAATCAAGCCCCTGTGTATCTTTAACAACCCCACTCCCCCCCTTCTCTGTCCTGAATTTGGAGGGAATTATACCCATGCATTCTTTCGTATGTGTCTATACTATACTTTCATACTTCTATCACACATGTGTGATATAGTGTGTTTTGCGTGTTTTATAAATCTAGTATCATTAACTGTACATATCCTTCTGTAACTTTTTTCCTCAGCATTATTTTTATGATATTAATCCATACTGATATATTAGCTTTAGTGCGTACATTTACTGCATTTACTAATTCGTTGTGTCTATTTATTTATCATTTCTCCTGTTGCTGGACAGTTAGGTTGTTTCCAGCATTCTGCTCCTACAACTTTGTATAATGCATTGTCATGTGCTAACACATGAAACTATATATACGTGTGTGTGTGTGTTCTCCCAGATCACATTTTGAAGATAACTGACCTGAATCTCTCCTTTAATCTATTAACATAAAACACTTAATTTCTTTTTTCTTTGCTAAAAATGTTTTCACATTTTTTATATCTATTTTCACAGTCGAGAAACTAACATGTAACTTTCTCATACTGTTCTTTTCTGTTTTTGTCTTGAGGATCAGCCTGTTTCTAGCCTCATAAAATAAGCCGGCCATTCTTTTCTATTCTTTGGCACAGTCTGCAGAAGATAAAAATAACTTGTTTTTTGAAAGGCTGGTAGAATTAAACAAAAAACCTATCTGGTCCTGAAATTTTTATTCTTGGTGGGTGGATTTTAAAATATTTGCTCAATTTGCTTTAGCCAGGATGAGGCTATTTCAGGAGTTTCTGTTTCTTCATTTTTGAAAAAATAAACTTTTTATTGAGATAAAACATACATATAGAAGAATGCAAGCCATGAATGTAAAACTCAATAAATTTTCGTAAAGGTAACCTGCCCATGTAACCAGAAAACAGTTCAAGTAGAATATTACCAGCACCCTAACTGCCCTTGTGCCCCCTTCTAGTCCAGGAGACCACTGGCTGCTGACAGAATACGTTTTGCCAGCTCTTGTGCTTTATAGAAATGGAATCATACTGTGTGTACTCTTTTGTGCCTGGCTTCTTTTACTCAAAATTATGCAACATTCATTCATATTGTTGCATGTATTGTAGTTTGTTCCTTCTCATTGCTGTATAGTATTACACTGTGTGAAAATACCACAAATTGCTCTACCCAAAGATCATGAAGACACTTACCTATTCTATCTTATAAAAGCTTTGTTTTACTTTAGCATGGTTTAAAAAATTATATTGAAAACTTCCAACTTTTTACATTTTCAAATTTATTGGCAGAAAATTGCTCACATTATACTCTTGACATTTTAATATCTCTATTGAATTCTCAGTTCTCCCTTTGTTTATTGTTAATATTATCTGTGTCTAATCTGTTTTTTCTTGGTCAGTCTTGCCAAAGTTTATCTATTTTGTTATCTGAAAGAACAAGCTTGTGGTTTTGTTGATTCTTTATTCCGTTGTGTTCTATTTCATTAATTTCTGGTCTTTATTTCCCTTCTTATACTTTCTTTGAGTTTCCATCAACATGTTATTTAGAGGTGCATTTGAAAAATTCCAACCATAATTTTATTTAGTCATCTTTTTGTTACTAATTTCTAACTTAACTGCATTCTTATCAGAAAATATGGTCCAAATGTTATCTATTCTTGGTACGTGTTGATACTCACTTTGTGTCATAGTTTTGTGTGTGCTTGAAAAGAATTTTTAAATTAGGTTCAGGGTTCCATATGTCCATTAAATATAATGCATTAATTGTGTTGTTTGAATATATACTCTTAATAAGTTTTAGTTTGCTTTAACAAGATTAATAACTGAAAGATATATGATAAAAAAAGACTGTGATTTTGCCAAAATTTTCCAGTAATTGTCATAATTTGAAGCTATGTGTGCAATTTTATATCTTTGTAGTGAATTATTCCTTTTATCATGGTAGGGGAATCTTTTATACTTAGCCATACCTTTTCACTTAAAGTCTTGTCTAGTTTGATATTGAAAAAACTATTCCAGCTTTCTTTTGGATGATATTATTTGTTCTTTTTCTGTCCTTTTCTTTCTTTTCTTTTGTTTTCTTCCAGTTTTATTGAGATATAATTGACATACAGCACTGTATAAGATGTACAGCATAATTATTTAATCATGAAATTATCACAGTAAGTTTAATGAACATCCATCATCTCATTTAAATACAAAATTAAAGAAATAGAAGAAAAGTTTTCCTTGTGATGAGAACTCCTAGGATTTATTCATAACAACTTTCATATATGACATACAACAGTGTTAATTATATTTATGTTGTACATTTCATCCCTGGTACTTATTTATCATATAACTGGAAGTTTGTACCTTTTGACCACCTTTCTCCAATTCCTCCTTCACCCACCCCCCCCGCCTCTGGTAACTACAAATCTGGTTTCTTTTTCTATGAGTTTGTTTGTTTGTTTTTCAAGTATAATTGACTTAAAACAATCTGTTAGTTCTTGTCACACAACAGAGTGATTTGATAGTTCTATACATTTCAAAATGATTACAGTAAGTCTAGTTATGCTATATCACTACACAAAGATATTATATAGTTATTGACTATATTCCCCTTGTGACTCATTTGTTTGCAACTGAACAGATTTCATCCTTGTGACTCATTTGTTTGCAACTGAAAGTTTGTACCTCTTAATTTCCCTCACGTCTATTTTTCCTTCGCCTATGCCTCTCTCTTCTGGAAACTACTTGTTTGCTCTCTGTAGCTATAACTCTGTTTCTG